GAACAAGCAGTCAGATGACCCAGTAACAGGTTGTGCTGTAAGAGTATCAACACCCTCTTGTAACTTCCTCTTCTAGAAACTTGAGCAGTTCAAAACTAAGCTGGATACCAAGGCTTTATTAATGGTGGAAGCTGGGCTGTTATGTACAAGTAATTGGTGACTCTAACATCCCGTCAGTATAAGAGGTGTTGAATGTTATTTTATTTTAAAGATGTTTCAAGTGTTATCCGGTATTTAAAATATATTCATCAAAATATATTCAAGTGCAGTTCATTATACAGGAAAAGTTTACAGGAGTTAGTTTAGCAGGTAGAAGAGGTATGATTGTTTGATGAATAAGACTCACTGTTTAACCAGAGCATTTCATTTGAAGGATTTTACACAGAAAATGGTTGATTTGATTTGTGTCCTAAACTACACGATTTGTTTATACTACAGTATTATGTTTTGTGTTTTCTTAGGCTGTCACCCAAGATCTGTGTTACAGCACCTTGACCTGTCCCCAACATTGCCACCTGCTGTCAGATGTGAGTTCAGTCATGAGGTTATGGTAACCTTGATCAACCTTTATGGATGAAAAACACAAAGTCCAGTTTTTGTATAAGTGATTATTTATCTGCATTTATAACATTCTCCAACTTATTCAGACGTGAAAAGTAATGTAACCCCGACAAAATGGAACAGACGAATGAAATTTCCCAGACATTTGACAGATGATCCACATGCTTTGTTTCTTAGCAAATTAACTCAATACCTTAAATTCTCACAACTATATTTCCTTCCTGAGAAAATATAGGTAGTGTAAATATGACTGATGGTATTATTCACAACACCAGTGGGGAAGAACCAGCATAGTATTAATATATATTTGATTACTGAAGAATGTCCTTACCCACATTTTAAAATAGTTTCCCTCAAATACATCACTAGCTGGCCTCTTTAAAGAGTAATAACACACCACGGTACTCAGATCAGGTGAATATTAGCCCCTCCAGTTTATTTTACCTGATCCTTAGACACCCTGATGCTACCTGGGGGGTGGGAGGGTTAGGTTAGGTTATGATAGGTCCAAGATTAATGTTAGTGGTATTTAATCATCAGGTAACATAAGCTGGGGTGTCTAATCTTCTTCAGGTTCATCCCATTATACCACCCATCAACACAAATGACAAAATTCAACATAAACGCGAACCATACTTTGTTGTCTCTCATTTTTTAATAATACTAGAACATAAACCCCAACACTACATCACATAATCACTTCAGTAACACTAAATTTTATGAGCACCCTGGATAAAGGCTTTTTTTTTACACTTCTTAAACTGCCTGAGTACTGTACACTTTTTGTTCAAAAGATATTAATAACACTGCAATAATAACAGCATTGATAATAGTACTACTGTACTGATAATAATACTGTACTGTAATAATAATAATAATAATAATAATAATAATAATAATAATGATAATAATAATAATAATGATAAAATAACTCATTTAAATAGAAAATTCTTAATACAGTGTACATCTTTGTTCATCAATTTTTAGCCATAGTACTGTACATAGTTGATTAAACTTTGTGGTCAGGTATTGGAATGTAATCATTTGTAATACCTTCATGAAGTATTAGTAAGTGAGTCAGTCTGTCAGTTAGTAAGTAGAAACAGGTTGATGTGAATGTAAAGGGAGAAAATAAAGGTAATATTAAAGATGTCTTGGTGAATAGGTCTTCGAGAGGTTGACACCTTGTATGAGGAGTCGCCTCTGAGCTGAATAAAATCATCTTGCATTAGCCAAATAAAATACTGAAAGTGATATCCCTGTAGTGAAGGAGTTAAGAGGCTGTCGGTGATTTATTTGTGTAGAGATGAAGGTAACTATAATACTGTATCATGTAAGGCTCGTAATAGGAGAATAATATCTTTGGTAATACAGGTAACATTTATGGTAATACTGTATGTAACTGTTTATTATTACACTGTATTATCATATGTATATTTAAAAATAATTCAATGACACTGTTAACCTTGCCTCATTTGTTTTGTATTGAGGTAATGATAAACATTGTCATTATAATTTCTTGTGAATGAAGTACACTAAGTTGATTGACCAAATATAATTTTTAACAGACTATTATTATTATTATTAATTACTTAAAAGTTGTTGGCACTTTTCTGTTGTTATATTCATGAATATTATCATTTGTAATTCATGTTAATAACTACAGTACTGTATTACCATCATCAGGAGCATCAGGCCATACTGACAGTGAATCAGTAGTCAGCAAAGAGTGCCCTATGACCCAAGATTTTGTACTGTACCTGTCTCAGTTACCCTCACTCAAGGAGTCATCTCCCAACATGTCATAAAGTACAAATAATAATGTTTTTCTTCACTAAACATTACTTTTATTTTTAATCTTGCAAAGTTAAAATAATCTTTCAGTTCATATAAGTCTTATAAAGAACATGATGACTATTTTCAGGACCGGCCCCTATAGTGTTCCCGGGTTGGTGATGAAGCTGTGGTTACTCCTGATGTGCATTATGAGGTTTGACTTCTGGTTGGCTCGGTGGCTGCAGTAAGGGCACGGGAAGGGCCTCTCCCCCGTGTGGATTCTCATGTGCCGTGTCAGTAGAGAAGGGAAGTTAAATCTCTTGCCACACACTTGACAGACGTGGTCCCCCTCAATACCACCCTTGGATGACCCCTGGTTCATTGGGTCGAGCGCCCCGGCCGGTGACGAGGAGAGGTGGTGGTGGCAACCCTGTGGGAATCAACACCGGAGTGAGGGAGAAGGAAGCTGTGAGTATGGAAGTTTTCCACACACCTGACAGTTCCATACATTCACTCGTGTCAACAATAAGATCTGGGGTGGAGCAGACTGCTTATGTTCCCTATGAGCATTACTGAGATTCATTCATCATTCTGTTACTACATACTGTAATAGCCACACAGAATACACACACACACATGAATATTGCACCAACAAATATGAACAAAATGACTATGTCTTACTGTTCAGGGACACAACAAACTCAGGATGACATTCCCCTTGTACAGTACAGTATAAAGAAGTACATGCAGGTGTTGGTCCACCTTCAACAACACACCATACAGAATTTCCAGAGACTTCAAGTATTGAAAACAGGGGTTCATGTTAAACTGAGTCACATATACGAATAATTCAAAGAAATTGCCATCAAACACAAAACTGTCTTTCTAAATTGTATATACATTATATGAAAGTTTAACATCCAGTTCAGCCCAATATAATGGCATCATAAAATACATACTGTACAGTAAGATTATGGGTTTGTCTATCTGTCTTAGGTTTTGGGTGTGTTTGTGTCTGTCGGGATGTTTGTAAACTTTGTGTCTTAAGTATACCAGCAACTCTTGTGTCAAAGGATATGATCAAGTACTGTATGTGTGGATGTTTCTACTTGCTGTCTCAGCCATTTTCCTGTCGTTTTCTAAGCTTGTCTTGCAGAATTCTACATACCATCTCCCCCTCCTCCTTAATCCACCCTGCACAGAATGGCAAAGGAGTTAAAATACAGTGCAGTAATAATTATATTGATACATTCCCAAAGAAAAGTAATCTTCTTCAACCTCGCTCCCCTTTCTGCTCTATGTACATTCAAGTATCTCAGATGTAAAGCATTTAAACGGTAAACACTAGAAATATACCAAAAATTTCAAACAATAAATTAAAACTCACTCCACCGTAAACAAATTCATTAAAAAAAATTGGGGGGGGGAGGGGGGGGGGAACTGAAATGTCCCGGGCTGCCAGTGATTACTCTCCCGGGTGTCTTAACTCTATACAGTACTAGTGATTTTACGTAATCCAGATTCCTTTTCTAGTGACCCCAAATAGTTCCACCTTCCACCAATGACCCCAAAATGCTTAACTTCACTCATGATGACCCCACAACACCTAACTTCATTCATAACCCCATAACACCTATATTTTTATCCTTGATCCCACAACACCCAGACCCCAACACTGACCTCTCATGCCCTCCACCTCAGCATGGCTTAGTCTCTTGGAATGCATGCGTTGGATGATAGGACCCTATGTGACGGATGAGGTACTCCCGGCGGGTGGTACGGTAGGTGCAGTGCGGACAGGGGAAGGGCTTCTCTCCTGTATGAGTCCGGTGGTGACGCGCCAGCAGGTACGGCCACTTAAAAGTATGGCCACAAATTTCACACGGGTAGGTTTTGTTAGCGTTGGGCGACCCGGCCACCACACTCACCTGCCGGAAGGAGCCCAAGTGTTACGCACCATGATCACATGTTCAACATCCCGAGGCTAGTTTTATGTGTGAAGACCAGTGTACTGTACAGTCTGTGGAGATGAGGGGATAAAACCTTCTACTGTACTTTATTCCTTCAAGTTAACTTTTGAAATATTTATGCTTTAAGTACATACAGTACGGTAGTCTTAAGTCACATTAAATTATCATCACCCACCAGTGTTTTCAAATTTTATGAGAGAACCGTCAGTAAACACCGACTTCTGAATACATTTTTTGTTTTTTTATTGTTTTCAAGAAATAATCCATGTAAAACTTTTGCCAAAAACTCTGTATATATAAAGTTAAAATGTTTAGTTGGGTAATTTCCCCACCAGTACTGTACTTGCCTTTGCTAGTGGACTAAGAATGGTAACTGACTTCATAACAAATGAAACTTTGCCAATACAAGCATCAGGAGTAGCACAAATACAGTATACTAATACACAACGAGCGAGGGGGGAAAATAAAGATATACAATATATTCCAAAGTAAGTATTTATTGACAAAATAAGACACAGCCATAAATATAACAGAGAGAACATTAAACTTTATGTCTTAGACTTGTTCATGTATATGGTAAAGAAAATCTCCATAAGTACAGTAACTTAATCCAGTGATCAGTTTTATGGTTAATAACATTACTGTACAGTAGAGGTGAGAATTAAATCCAGTTTTAAGATCATGTAATAAAACTTAATTGCTCCAAAAATCTTGCATCATGATATAAAAACAGTTTTGTACATTTTGTGATTTTCAAATATTCAAGTTATAAAATTAAAATGCCACTGGCCAAAGATAACTAAGAGATGCACGAAAAAATAAGGTACAGTACATGAATGAAGGAGTTATAAGCAACTTCCTAATACCTCATTTCTATCTATTGATGTGATTTTTCTCTATTTTCATCCAAAGATCTGCCATAACTTGTTGATGTGACCTGACCCAAGAAGACAAGGGTCTCAACATCAGCGCCGAGTTAGGAGCACATGTGATGCCTCGGAAGACATCTAGTCAAATAGAACAAACTCCAGGTAAAACACCCACAACATTCACTCACTTTCTACCATACTGACAGTCCAGGTTTTTTCTTAACTAGTTTAGGCCATAGCTTGGCTGTAAATGACCAACATTTGTGATCCACTTCTTAGATCAGGTCACATATACTTGTGCTTTGTACAGTGACCATCTTGTTGTTTGCAGGCCTTTTATGAGAGACCAATTAAACCCTTTATATAATAAGTCTGGTAGAATCCTGACTACTAGAATTTTCTGTAGGTAGAGAAACTGGCAGAGATTAACGGACCACAGACACTACCACCCAAGAAGCTCATTATTGTTGCCCTTGTAGGCTCTGTAACTTTTGGTGCCGGTGGAAGATGTGGCTACGGATCATCTCCTTTCGGTTGGCACGGTAAGGGCAGTATGGACAAGAGAACGGTTTTTCGCCAGTGTGAGTCCGCATGTGGCGCCTCAGCAGCCACTCCCACCGGAACTTGTGGCCGCAGATATAGCACTGGGCCTCCTTTGACTGTTTCTGCTGGGGCACCTGCGGAAGTTGCTGCCCGCTCAGCAGCAAGTCATTCATGGCAATCTGTGTGAGGAAAGCACACCATCAGTATCCCAAAGTGTAACATCCACCTCACTACCAGCACCAATGATATCAGCTCCACTAGCCAAGAGTAATGAAACATGTGGGAAAAAAAGCTAACCAACTAAGAGACAGCTAACACTCATCCGTGGATGGAGCCCCATCCACAACAAGTTACCAGGACTGCCTACTTCAGCATGGTAAAGCTAAACATACAACACATATTTCCTCAGTTTTCTTTACTACAAGGAAAAACTAAGAGAAGCACAACCAGTGGAATCAGGATGAAGGTTACTTTCCTGAGTGCTAATTCATCTTTTTATCTTCTCTATTCTCAAATACTGTAAACAGTACCCACAGTGGTGGTGAAAATTATCTTGAGTTTCATAGTATACATACACATACATGTACATGCTGTACTTATGTGTCTCGGATGTAAATGTAAATTTGACATGCCATCTACAGACACATGGGAGAGCACTAGGCTATATTTTATCGCTATGAATCAGCTCAGTTTTATTGAGCTCTCCAATTTGGTGTCTTCTTAAGCTACCAGAAGAACCTTGTCAGAAATGGCATAACTTATGGGAGAGGACGTTGTATCTTGTCCAGGTGCAGGGCCAATATGTGCTTCGTTACGTCAAACTTTTGAGCAGCGGCGTAAGGACAATGTGGACAGCTGTAGGGTCTCTCGCCTGTGTGTATCCGAATGTGGCGCTGCAGTAGGCAAGGCCATCGGAAGACCTTTCCACAGAAGTTGCAGCGCGGACCACCACCAACTAGACTTCCTCCTCCGGCCTCGCTCGCACCGCCCTGTAGGGAACACGAGTGTCAATGAGGAGTGAGACAGCTGGCAGCCCCCAACTCAGGTTTCTCCATAAGCTGACACATCGTTTGGAACCTGATGTAGACTGCAGAAGCTTCCAACTGGCAGAACCATCAGGAACATGGTGCAAAATATCATCAGATAAATTTGATGGAAAATATCCTTCGCCCTTCAGTTTGATGTCAACAAAAACCTTATACAGTTTATAGTGTGCTCCAGGCTCACTGTTAATGATTTTGCTGATGTCTCAAAGTTAGTCATAAATACAGCATTAAGAACCTTAAGTCAAACGGTAATTAATAAGATACAGTCAGTGTCCGCTTAACATACACCTGCACATCCATTTAACATACAGGTTTTTAGGAACACTTCATGTACATTAAGTGAACCCTGACTGTATATCACATAAATATTCACTGTTTAATATCATAGTCTGGGAATAGTTTATGGAAGCCATAATGTTAAGAGGAAAGTTTTTACATTGTAACAGTAATAACTGGAGGAAGGAAAGTGTCATGTGTAAAACTGGTTAGTAATCCAGGGTAGATAAGGAACCTCCATGTCATCCAGTAATGAATTGTCAACAGCATCATTTAGTCCGATAACATGGCAATACAAAGACTTCAACTTGAAATCTCAGAAAATTGTTGATTCTTTGAGTTATCTCCAAAGAAGCAAAATTTAAACTGGCTCTTCTCTTTTTCTTGAGAGGAAGAAATCAATCATAGCACAACTCACCATGTTATCACAGCACGAACCAGTATGTCAACACAGCACAAACAATCATGTTATCACAGCACAAACCATCATGTTATTAAAGCACAAACTATCATGTTATTACAGCACAAATTATCATGTTATTAAAGCACAAACCATCATGTTATCACAGCACAAACCATCATGTTATTACAGCACAAACCATCATGTTATTACAGTTGGGTGGGTCATCTCACATTAGTAGATAGAAGAGAACTTCAAAATGTATTCATTAGCCCAACATAACCCATCCATGTTAATTAACAGACCCCCTGAAAGGTTTAAGGTTTACAGGTGATAAATATATGAAAATCAAGTGAACGATTGTTAAATTCTCCAAGAATGGGAGAAGTTAATTAACATACAAGTCCTTTGAATTCCAGTGATGATCATCCGAAAACTATACAGTAGTTTGACTTATGGCCATTCAGAAAATGTAGTCTGAGGTACAGTGTTTATGAAAAAACTACAGTCTCAAGTGGTACAGTTAGTCCACCTCAGACCCACTGGCAACAAGTATGAAACAATCCTACAAATCATTGTACAGTATGTACAACTAATGTCTACCTTACTGTACTGTACTGTACTGTTATGCTAATACCTAAACCTGTGATTAAAAAAAAACAAGATTCCTAAGGTAATGTATCAGATACCGAGTCATTAGTTAACTTTTTTTTAGAGTACAGTACCAATATGACCAGACCAAAACCATCAGTCATGCCTTGTCACTCTCAGTGTGGAACTAAACTGAAAATGGTTGGCTGGACCCAGATTCTTTTAGATTCATAGATGGTTCATCAATTGCCTTGTTGTGCCGAGTGCTGATTGGGTACTAGTTACAACTCAAACTAAACCTTCAGTCCTCCTTGGGGAGACCTGTACAGTCCCATCATTTAAGGTTAGTAGGACAGTACAGGGGGCAGGGAAGGAGTCAACAATATCCAAATGATGTAAGGGTGACACCTGGAAAAGATTCTACTGCAGTATTTCACAATCCATAATTTCATTACCTGTAAATACTGGGTATACAGTATACTGGGTATTGCTGTAAATTTATGTACTGCACTTGGGAGTCTCCCAGTGCACTGGAAGTTGATGTCAATGTTTACTTACAGGAAAACAAGGATAAAGATGGCACTGAAGAAGTGATCAGAAGGATGTTATATCTAGGAAGAACAAAATAAAGGGAAAGAGAAAACCAAAATCGTCAAATTCTCTTAAAGGTGATAATTAGCCACAGTACAAGGTAATTACTGATATATTACTTCTATCATGGCAAGGTGTCATTGAATCTACACATAACTCCATACCATAAGCTCTAAGTGTCTGTATCACAAACATTCATACATTAGGAGAAAACATTAACTGTCAACATTCTCAGCAGTTTTTATGCCAATGTGGTCTTTATTTGTTGCTTTTGTTGGCCTTTTCAAGATATTTGCTCATCCCCAGTTAACAGGAAACCCTTAACTTACAATTCTTTGAGAACCTGGGCTAAGATCAGTAATTTTCTCAGATAACCCCACAGCTTATTCCAACTGATAATTACTGTACCTTAAACACCCTAATGCTACCTTGGGAGGTTACATTAGGTTAAGGCATTTAATCATCAGGTGAAATAAGCTTGAGTTGTGAGTCTTATATGATCCCCTTTTCTCTACACAAGGGTCTTCAGTAATCTTGTTTATTTCATTCATATTTTTGTATTACAGTATTTGGTGAGGTTTGAGATACCTGCAGAATGTTATTGTTCTGTGTGAAACACGACACTTATTGTTTTAGTATTTGATGTCTCTTATTACTGTAAATAAATTTCCTTGTTTGATGATGAAGAGTTTGACATTTACAGATTTTGTTGTACATTAAGAAGTTTCAAACATTTACAGACCACATTAAAGGTTCCACAATACATAATAAAAGACAGTCTCTATCAACATTCCTTTATTATTGTTTAACACAACTTCCATTTGGTAGACAGTAAAATAAACACACAAAAAATGTACCGATGCTTGTGTATGAGAACAGTTTCAGGTTTTCCTTTTTATTTTTCTTCTAAATAAAGACTATGAAGTGTTTGTCCCGACCTCAAAGATTACTCGTAAGATTGTCAATTAGCTATGAGGAAAATGACATTTAAACATCGACTCAGAAACACACATCCGCACTTTAATAAAATAAAACTAAATCAACTTCATGAGTTTAAAATTATCATAAGTATGATAATTTTATTAAATATATACCTGTACTCAGTCATCAACATATCACAAATTAACTTAAAAAAAACTATTAAAAATTCTTCCATCACACCCTCCAAGTTTTCTTTTTTCTTAATAAATATGTATATACTGTATATATAATTCCTATACATTGCAGTTTTTGTATAATGTTCATCACAAGTTTCTGAATAATGAACATAAATTCATACCATCACACAATCTTCACCATAAATTTCCTGAGGTAACTTGTATTGCCGGAGAAAATGTATGAAAATATGAAAGTATGATAAAATGACAGTAATACACGCTTAAAAACTTTAAACACAATGACAGAGAGCAGCAAGCCTACAAAAATTGGTCACATTGGTTGGTAAAGAGAATCAATTCATTACAATAAAATACTTTACTGTAGTATGAAGTGCAAGACAAAGTGCTATGTATTTTGTTCACACTGACAGGGTCTCACCAAGGCAACATCTGTACACAAAACAGTTTTACATTAGCCATGTAATCACCATGAGGTAGGGATCTTGTGTACAGATCGAAGATGTCGTTTCAGAATTTCACGCTGGTTAAAAGAAAGTGCACAGTGGGGACACTCATAGGGCCTTTCCCCAGTATGAGTCCTTTCATGGCGGACAACTTTAGAAGGTGTGGCAAACCACTTCCCACAAAACTGACATGCATACTGCTTTCTCCCATCAAGAAGATGCTGATAGTCTGTGAGATCCATTTGTTGTTGATCCTGTGGAAGTTGTTGCTGCTGCTGTTGTTGACGGCTGTACAAGGAGGCCCCACTCCCTCCCTGACCACCACTACCACCACTCCCTGGGCTTACCTACAATAGAGAGAAATCAACAAAATAAGCAATTTGAGCCGGCACTTTAATTTACTTCAATCATTTTGATATATTTTGTAATTTTGCATACCGTAAGATTTTCATGAAGTGCCTCAAGAAAATTATACAAAGCAAATTACTGTATCCTATACTGTACGTCTTTTCTGTCAATACTCAGATTAGTGCTCAAAGTATTGTGGTAGTGTTGGTAGTGGTAGTAAGACAACTATATCATCACCTAAACAATTTAGATAAGAAGAACTAAAGATTTTCACGGGGTAGCAGTTGCAGCAAACTCTGGGTGCTTCATCTTGATGTGTCGATAAACATTGCCACTCTGGGCACTACGAAAGGAGCAATGAGGGCAAGCAAATGGTTTCTCCCCCGTGTGTGTGCGAAGGTGTCGCCCTAGGTCCACGGGACGCAGGAAGAAGCGGCCACAGTGGGAGCACGACTGCCCACCTTCAGGGAGTATGCCTCTGCCCTGTAACATTCCTGAGAGTTGAGCAGTACGGCCAGGAGCAGGTGTCAGGCGTGTCAGCAGATGGGAAAGAGTGGCGTTGGACGGGACCCCAGCCTGCAGGAAAGACAAGTCAGGCTTCAGCACCAGCATCTAAACAGTTTTAAGCCATAACAGTAGAAGATAATGAAGCTAAAGCAGTGTTGCTTACGAAACCAATCACACAAGAAATGAGAAGTCCACTCAGTAGTCAAAGAGACAGTTATCTCTTAAATGTGCAACATATACACTACACCTCAGAGGCTGGTGTTTGGTGGGAGAAGGCGGTCAGAGTGTCGAGCTTGCATGTGCTTGGTGACGTTCCCCTTCAGCGCAGCACGATATGGACAAAACATACAAGTAAATGGCCTCTCCCCTGTATGAGTGAGCAGGTGCTTCTTCAGGTTATATGCTCGGTTGAAGAGTTTGCCACAAATGTTGCATGGGTGCAACTGGGTAACGCCCATTGGTCGCGGCAGACCTTCCTCCACGGGTACGCCCACAGCCGCCGCCCTAACCTGCCAAGGAGCACTGTGTCAGTTCTTGCTCACACCTCGAAAATTAACTGTATAACAGCATGTCAACCAAAATCTTGTTTAATTCATAAATTTAATTCTTCAACAACTCCCAGAGGTGAAGTAAACTTAATTTTAACTCACCCCAGAAAATACAGAGTACTGTACAGCACAGTACATGTTGAGAAACAGTAACTGGTGGGAGCGACTCAAGGAGAGACTGTACTGTACACTTGCATGCTAACCCCTGTCTATGGAAGTATCTTGTGGTAGTTAGATATGATTAAGATTTATTGGTCAGGTCTTACAGAGAACTAATCCATCAATATATAGCTGGCCTACAAAGAAGTCTCACTCCTCAAGTGGAAGGAGCCTAAAGTATATGAATAAAAAATTTTGTGCCAATGGCGACAATTTTACAGCCAACACATGAGAACAAAATTTAAAAATATTTTCTTGAAATTGGTAATTCTAGAAAAAAATGGAAAAAAGATAGTAAAAAATAATGGCAGTGGAATATTTATGATACCCGTACATGCTAGGCAAGATGTTGGGCATAACTTGTTATGTATAACTGCCAAATAGTTTGTGTTAACACAGTACTGTACAGTAATGTCTTCTATTGTTGGTGTCACTTGTGTAAGAAAGGTTCCACATTGCTAGTTTAGGTAACATAAAAGTGGTAAGGAATGTTTGTTGTTCTTCATAATGTTGTCAAAGTATTCCGTAAAAAGTGAAATTTTTAATTTACTGTACTTAATAAAGTCGTTAAGCTTTTAATAATGAATTTTTACTCACCATTATTGTAAAAAAAATTATATAATCTTCTCATTAGGAAAAGTTAATCAGATTTGTTATTAAAAAATTAAGCCTATTTATGGAGATGTAACTGTTGTGTTATAAATGGCATCGCTTTTGTGATGCACAATTAGTAAACATAAGTGGGTTAACTGTGTTTATGGTGCACAGTCCCTAAATTTTATAAAACAAGTGAGTAGTTCATATTCTTGTGTGTGTCTCAGACAGATAAACCAAAGCAAATTCCCTTCCACACATTTACTCAATAAACCCAGCTGGACAGACACTTACCTGCCCTGGTATGCATCACTCCTAATGTCAAACAGGACCACTGGAATGATTTCCATTTTTTTTTTCAACATTAGTCAGCAATATAAATACTGTTCCTGACAGTCATGCATTCACTCCCCTCCCCCCTTTATATGAACTGGTCTTTACGATGGCACTAAAACGTCTGTTCTCTCCAAACCATCACAATAATCTCAACTCCAAACTTAAATCTCCCAGGTGTTCAGGAAAGTTTTATTAATTCCCAAGTCTCATTCAGCAGTTTAAAAATTACCCGCAACAGTTGGTCTTGCACGAGATTAAAAACCAATGTGATGTTAAGGAAATAACCACTGTACTAACCCTTGTACAAAAATTCAGGTTTATTGGCAATTTTTTTTAGCTCTAAGTTCAAAGGTTCAAAGTTGGCATGTCACTGATTTCTGGGCCCACAGATACAGTATAAATGTTTTCCTTACACACACACACACACACACACACACACACACACACACACACACACACACACACACACACACACACACACACAGGTTCCATAAACATTATCTTCAGTCCCTGATATGACTACATAAGAGTAAATGAGTTTTGAAAGACGTGTGGTTGTCAACATTAACTAAACATAAGGGTGACTGAGAATTGGGTGCAATGTATATCAGATCGGCCAGATAAATTATTCACACGCTTGGTCAGTCAATATTGGTATTCACAGAATTGACTGATACTGTACAGCTAAAAATATTAAATAATTTTATAACAATAATAATGGAAAACTTGGCAAAACAAATTTAATCTAAGTACAGTACTGTACTGTAATTTAAGTTTTTTGTTTCTAATGTCTTTCATTTTTAAGAGTGCTGTACAGTATCAAAATAATTTACACAATACTGGACATATAGAATGCCACAAGAGCTGAAAATTCATTTGTGGTTGCTTGACTTTGTTAAAATACAAATTCTAAAACAAATGGAGGGAATGACATACCCCTGTACCACTACAGTATAGTATATTCTAATGTGCTAGTCTTCATTATTCATATGAGTTTTATATGTTTATATCAAAAGTTAAACAGTATATATATATATATATATATATATATATATATATATATATATATACATATATATATATATATATATATATATATATATATATATATATATATATATATATATATATATATATATATATATATATATATATATATATATATATATATATATATACTGTATACAGTCAACCCTCACTTTACGCGGTCCCACTTACGCGTTTACTGCACCCTGCCGAACACGGAATGCTCACTTTCCGCGGTGTGTGTACCCTTTTACGCGGAGAGCGGCGCGAGCAGGGTGCGCACAAGGTCGCCCAGTCATCAAAACATTACCGAGTTCTTCACCCGCCACCCACCACAGCCGACCCAAGTCAGTGATAGTGAGGATATGGACTTATATGGACTTTGAGGGGTTTGACAAAGAGGCCCTGCAAGCCTCTGTGGTGGATAGTGATACAATTGATACAGGTGAGGGCCAATAATCTGCCCTCTGCCTCGGAACCAACCCCCCATCCCCGTGTGCCCAGCCATCTTTTCTACTAATGTAAGTGTTAAAAAACCTAATATTATTGATATTTCTCTTAATTATTAATTGTGTGTGCATACCATCATAAAATTAAGAAGTTATTTTTACTACAACGTAGGTATTATGTCTGAAAAAGTGGAGTTTGGGGGTCGGCCCGGTCTCTATTTCAATTAATCCATATGTTATGTTGTTCACTTTACGCGGCCGCCGGGTTCATTGACCAGTATATATATATATATATATATATATATATATATATATATATATATATATATATATATATATATATATATATATATATATATATATATATATATATATATATATATATATATATATATATATATATATATATATATATAATGTAATACAGTATGTTTATCTTGGCCTGTCATCCATCTTTCTTGACATTTTCTCAGAGTTTAGAAACTTAAACCAGTACTTTAGTAAAGGTTAAGTTTTAAATACAGTATCATGGTTTTGGCTTTTGTGGTACAGTACTTCATCTGAAACAGAATCTCCAAAATTTTGAAGGGTCTTATGTATTGAGAATTTTCAAGATCTCCCCCCCCCCCAAAAAAATAAGACCAAAACAGTCTATGCATATGTAATTCTAACAATTTATGATACTGTTGTCACTGAGTAAAGAGGAGTAAAAAAAAGAGAGATCACAAATATTCAACCTAGGAAGGGGATACAAGATGGTGTAGAACAAGATAAGGAAATATCTGGGAAAACTGTGAAATGTCAGCTGTGCATCGATTAAAGTCAACAACGTGATAAATGACAAAAATAAACTAATATTACAGCAAAAGCTTAAGACCCAAATCCACAAATTAGTAGTAAGGTCACAATGGTTTATTGGGGTTAAAACCAAGAAGAGAACTAATTTCATATGAAGAAACTGGTAGCAGCGTGGTACTGAACTTCAGGTATCATAAAAGTGGCCATGAGAGTTGTGTTCCACTGCCATGTAGTGAGATGAGATGAGTGTAATGGTAGTTCAGAAGAGTCCAGAGATTACATGGACAAATGACCAAACTGAGAGACACCGAAACTTATGTAATGTGGTTGTTTGGGGATCAGGTAACAGGATGAACCGAACAAAGATGGAAAGATTGCCTACAAAAGGATGCCAGCAGGAGTTTATAAGGTGTAATCATGACCAGTCAAGAAAAAGAGTAACTAAACTTCAAAACACGGTGAACAGGAAATAAACTTTCCAATCGAGGTTCATTTCACGTGTAACTGTCACATATATCTAAGATACAGTTCAGGTCATGGATACAGTTGTACTTTTCTAGTACATAATCCTTTCTTTATTAAAAAAAATAAATAAATATTGTATACAGGTATCCAGAATTTGGTTTTTCTGATAATAATGATATGAACTTAAATAATATTAATTTGCAATTGCATTCTTCATGAGCAGATGTGTATTGTCCCCAATTTACTAATATCATGTAACATGTAGTAATCCAGCTGATACTAAATGCTGTATAATAATTTTCTTTAGATTAATGAACAGTATTTGTCAGGTACTGTACTACCAAGAGAGCTCCAGTTCTCACTAGGCTCAGCCATGTCTGTTGGTGCTCACTTTTTATCTGTATATTTCTGGCTAATTAAACTGTTTCAATTTCAATTAATGGAACTGTTCTTGTAGACAGCACTTTAATCCAATAATTGTGGTAAAACTAATTCAAAATCAATCACCTTGTGGAAGAATTCTGTACAATACTTTACCTATGAAGACAATTAAATAATTATCAATACCGGTATATTAAATATTATGGCAGTCTTGGTTTAACATCCATTGTAACACTGCCATTCTGTTAACAGTTTAATGGCTGATCCTTGTTAAACATCAGTGATAATCTTGTTTTTTCCATCAATACTCATACCACAATACTGTACTGTATTTGAGTAAGAAGGATGATCAGACAGTTTCTCCCATCATTATGGTTAACATCCACATGATCATCGATCACAGATGTCAACTACTGCATACCTGGTCGTGAATGTTAAATGATATTATAGAAGTACAGTAACCATGTTCAAGGGCGAATAAGGAATTCTGTTGAAGTTCAATATGGCCACCCATTCCTTAATGATTTGGTGGCTTGAACAGTGAACTCAAACTGGATAAATTAGTTTAAACACAGATTTGTGCATTATTTATTATCTGAAGCCTTGATATAAAAACAAAATGAAAATGAGGATCCAGAATTATTTCTAAAATGTAAGTGTTCCCTATTGCAGAAGGTTCAGAAGAGATGACGCAGTTAAACAATAAGAGTTTCTTACACTGAACCCATAACTGGTCTGCAAGATACTGTAACTCTACATACTGTACAAACTTTTCAGTTATGAGACTAAAGTCTGAGGATTAAATGTACACATTGTACATACAGTAATAACTCTTGAGAAAAGACTGGCAGCCAAGATAACCCTCGTGATGCACTGCCAAACATAGTAAGCCACATCACCAGCTTCTTTGCTCTTGTTTCTGTTTCCTTGTCACATACTGTACACTTATATAAAAACTTTATGTAATTCACCAGCAATCACTGCTTTCTCACAATGCTCCTGCTGTGATAACTCAGCTTTGGATAAGCCTTTATACAGCTCAGCAAATAAGCTTCCAACTGCCAGGTAAGACCCACACTAAACTTCAAAACCTGGAAGCATGACGGGTCCATTTGTTATTCTTGAAGCGGATGCCACTTCCGTAGGTGAGAGTGCAGAGTGTCCTTGCGACTTGAACGGTAGTGACAATGAGGGCAGGGGAATGGTTTCTCCCCAGTGTGGGTGAGGATGTGGTTCTCCAGATGCTGTCTGCGGTTCTTTCCAGTAAAGGCCCGCCGGCATAAAGGGCACACCACAGAGGAAACCTTGTGGACGCCATCTCCTCCCAGCGTTGTAGCAGCCCTCGTACCCTGCAACACACCCAAGACAATCCTTATCACTTGTTACACCAATCCTTCACTTACAAGCACCAAAAGAGTCCCTTCTCTGAGGCATTAAGCCATGTTCTTACTAGTATCCTGTACATCATGCATATAATATATTAATTTGGAATGATCCTAAAGTTTGTCAAAAAATTAAGGGAGCTGCTGCTTATTTACTTTTTTTTTTTTTCATTTATAGGGTTGGTCTGGAGTGATGAAGGTTGGCTGTGATAGTCTGGGCTTCAAGATGTGCTGCTTCCCTCTGTTGAACCTCTTCCCTCTGTTGCCGCACTGCAACTTCGTGTAACAATGTTCCTCGGTCAAAAAGAACCAGATCTCTAATTGCTCTAGGGCTATTATTCCTCATCCTTGCCTGAGCTTCCCTTAAGCTTGTATCCCTTGAACTAGTGCTCCCAGGAACCAGATCCTTGTGCATTCTGGCAACGTGAATCTTGAGTGTGTCCTGACGAGATGAGCGGAAAGGACAGTGTGGGCAGGGGTAGGGCTTGTGACCCGTGTGTGTCGCGATGTGTCTCTCCAGGATCTGTCGCCGGTTGCGGCCCCCAAAGGCCTTTCCACACACTGGACACACCAACGATGCCACGTCTCCAAGTCGTACAGCCAAGCCCTGGAAAACACAGCTACACTCAGCCTTAACCTCCTCACCAGGACCCCATTTAAAACCATGTCTGACAAATAATATATATATATATATATATATATATATATATATATATATATATATATATATATATATATATATATATATATATATATATATATATATATATATATATATATATATATATATATATATATGGAAGCAAATTAAAGAATTTGTGAAAATTTGAAAGTAGAAATAGATTCTACTTAAAAAAAATGTTGTGCACTTAAACAGTATAAAATTTAGGTTTAAGTCTCATATTGCAAGTCTGCAAAATGTTGTTTGTAAAAATTAAGAATTATGCACCTGAACAAAACATTAGAGCCACCTCTTCATGTGTTTGCCTGCAAAATTTAAAGATTAATAAGTATGTCCCTCGGGGGTACAAGAGAAGACCAGCATCAACTTTAAGGGCATGGCACACTGCCACTCTCAGCAGCAGTGATGGTGACACATGAACAACACTACATTTAAATTCTTTAATTTCTTTCCAATATTCAGTCAATTGTATTCATCAGATATATAAACACTTCTTGATATTGTAATAATAAATAAAATAACATACAGCGTTAAGAATTTATTCCATACAAGAAGTTTTTACAGGCCAAACTTTAGACATAACATATATACTGCACTGTATATATACAGTACAGGTATGTATGGCAAAACAAAAACCATTCTTCTTAAAGTTTGAGCAGGACACAGCTGTGTAGTATTAACCAGGGTACAGTACATTATAAAGTTTATTGTCCCTCCCACCAACAGTACACAGCCGACTGACTCGCCCAACACTGCATGTGACATTTTATCATTAATCATTAAACACTGTACAGTACAGTACCCTTTGAAGGGCAAAGTATCCCTTACGGAATTTATTCAGGCTAACATCAGACGATTTTATTTAGCTGATGGGAGACCCTGCCCACTAAAGGGTCAGAACCTATCTCGATTAATCCTTTAAAGGACAAAGTATCCCTTAGGGATTTTATTCTGGCTAATGCCAGATGATATCATTCAGCTGAGAGGAGCCCGTGACTGCTAGAGGGTTAAGATAGATTCCTTTTATCCTCCAAAAAATTATGTCAGTGAATTAGCACACAACCCATAACTTCTAACAGTTAACTGTGATCATTTTTAATGTTATGGATGTTCAGATGCTGAACTTCATTGTCTCCACTCACTCGATTTATACAGAAATCAACAATTTCACAAAACTATACCCAACAAAATCTTCATCGATGCATTATACACACATGTACATTATTTTTCACTCTTTCTTCAACTACAGTACCTTACTGAAAATCTGAAAAATTTCCACAACTAGACAAATTATTCTTCATTATCATCACCTTTCCGTCGTACCAGCTGTCCTACTGTGAAGCTCAACACACTACAGTACAGTAGGTTGGTTGTGTTCATTGCCTTGGCAGCCCACCACCACCCTCAAAATTTTCTCTGTTGAACTGATGCTGGAAAGAACTGCTGGAATTTGTGGTAAAACGTTGTTCCTCAAAACTCCTACTTGACAAATTTTGATTGTGGGGCATCAGAGCAACAGCAACTTGTTGGCTGATGCCCCGGGAGACATGTGCCTGATGCGTGGCATTGCCATAGTGCTGTCCCTGGAGGGGGTTATTCCCAGACTGATTTGGTGGCTGATGAATACTCTTAATGTGCCTTCTGAGGTTTGAGAGTTGGTTAGCGCGATAGGTGCAGTGTGGACAGTTGAAAGGGCGTTCTCCGGTATGTACAATAACATGTCTCTCGTACAGTTGGTGGCGGCCCGGCCCAGTGAAGGTCTTGGGGCAGTTTGGGCAGGAGAGCAGAGCAACACTTCGCACACCGCTGCCGCCAGTACTGCCGCTGCCCTCCTGAAGTGGGGCAGCCCTCCCCTGCAAGATATAAGGCGGCTCTAACAGCAGCACCAGTTGCATCCCTCAATTCATAACTTGTGGAGAAGTCTTTCTTATTTCCTCCACTCATAACTATATCAAAATTCTCCACACATTTAATTACCTAAAATATTATACTTTATAACAGTTAAAATATGATTAAGGTTAACATAATCTATTGTATACCATTTCTATACTGCACAATTACACGCAGTAATATCAGAAAGACCCTGAAGCAAATATACTTTATAATTTGGCATGCACAGCATCAATACAGTACACAACATAAATATTTTGCAAAGCATAAAATTCTGATCCCAATACATAAGCCCATAACCTGAAATGGATAAACATCCATCAGGGTAAATGAGGGAGAAATGTTTAATTCATGTCCAAAATGGTGACAAGTTTTGCCCACAACATATGGATTAACCCCACTAATATTCATGCATCACACTCCCATCTGAGACCATCAAGTGAGATCAAGTATAGCCAAGGACGTAAACTATCCCCATTTAACAAAGAAATACAGCATAATACTGTACTGTACTTCTTTTACGATGTATTGTGCTACTCTTCTGGATTAGCATGTCACGGGGGTGAGGTGACCCACTTGCGACTGAATGCCAAGGCTTGGGGACTGGCACCAAGCTGATTACCCTTCATCATTACAGAAGGTTTGTATTTTTGGAATATAGGTGTTAATAATAGAGGTGTAGCAATTCCTTAATATTTTACACTTCTGGTTAGCAATATTCACATTCCCTACTCTGAACATCTCTATATTTGTATGTTGACTTTATTTTAACCTTTAGTATTCCTGTTTACATTGTTATATTCCTCATTAACCCCTTCATTATGGAGATGCCACTTTCGATACTTTATTTAGCTAATGCCAGACAATTTTATTCAGCTAAGAGGGGCCCCTGTACACAAGGGGTTAAACACTCTGTCATGCTGTGTATCACAGAAGACAATGTTTTCTACCCAATCTTAAGTCTTTCTGCAACTAGTCAGACCATATGACGATGTGCTGTTACCTTTGTCACTACAACACTTGGCACAATGATCACACAGGTTATAATTTGTAGAAAATTAATTGTTCCACAGAACATAAAAGATGTAATTAAACATTACTGAACGTGCTTTTGTGCCAGGAATACAACCCTTCTCTATACACTGGATAACTCTACTTGCATTTATCATTGAGAACACTTATTTTTGACACTTGGTACATTTACTCAGCCAAAAAATGTAAAATATATAGTACTGTATAAGTCTCAGTTGTAATTAATAAACTGTCATAATTGTATATTGTTGTTGATTCCCATTACTGTACAATGTACACTTGTGTGTTTGTTGTTAAGGTATTGTACTGTAATGTACTGTTTTGTACTGTACTGGACTGTACTGAACTGTATTGTACTTTACTTGTACTGTACTTATACTGTATTGGATTATACTGTACTTATACTGTATTGGACTATACTGTACTGGATTGTACTGAACTGTATTGTACTTTACTTGTACTGTACTGTACTTGTACTGTATTGTACTCTATTGTACTGTACTGTATTGTACTGTACTGTACTTTACTTGTACTGTATTGTACTTGTACTATACGTCCAAGAAAGCATGAGCTTCCTGTAATTTTAACAAACATTTCTTGCCAACTAACAAACAAAAAGTTGATCCATTAAAAAACAAAAAAGCCTGAAATTTCCTATACAAATTAGGAACTTAAATTAAAAGACAATAATGCTTTTTTTACTTTATTTCATCTAAACAAGAAAATAAACATTTACAATTATTTCATCCAATTCCAATCTTTTGAAATGTGGTAGTCGTACAATGCATCAGTTTCCCCAAGGAGTTATGAACACTTACAGTACTAAAAATAAATAAAAATTCGGATGTCATCTATTACGAATATACTGTATGTGCTTTGAGATCAGTCGGACAGATCAAAAACTGTCACCGTAATTCTTAAAAGTCAACCCAACAAGGCTTGACAGAACACAAAGTCAAAAGCATAAAAGAATAAAAAAAAATCATCTCTAAGATTAAAAAAGAAAAGAAATCACAGGGCAAAAGTTACATATTGAACTAGTGTTTGTTTGCTAATCATTCCACGTCACACCACCGCCATGGCAACATCTCTGGAGAGTAATGATAATGTACCATCTCTGGACAGGA